AAGAAATTTTTTTGCCCTTGGATTCAAACGAACCCAGCTCTTGGGGCCTTGGGAAGAACCCAGGCGCTGGGTTCTCGAAGGAACCCAGCCGCCTGGGTTCGAGAAGAAACCCAACACCTGGGTTCTTTCGAGAACCCAGGTGGCTGGGTTCCTTTGAGAACCCAAGCACTGGGTTCGAGAAAGAACCCAGGCCTTGGGAAGAACCAAGCTGCCTGGGTTCGAGAAGAAACCCAACACCTGGGTTCGAGAAGAAACCCAGCACTTGGGTTCTTTCTCAAACCTAGTGCTTGGGTTCTCGAAGGAACCCAGCCACCTGGGTTCTTTCTCGAACCCAACGCTTGGGTTCTCAAAGGAACCCAGCCAGCCGCCTGGGTTCGAGAAGAAACCCAGCACCTGGGTTCTTTCTCGAACCCAGCGTTTGGGTTCTCAAAGGAACCCAGCCAGCTGGGTTCTCGAAAGAACCCAAGCGTTGGGTTTCTTCTCAAACCTAGGCAGCTGGGTTCCTTCGAGAACCCAGCGCCTGGGTTCTTCCCAAGGCCTGGGTTCGAGAACGAACCCAACTCTTGGGTTCCAACAAAACCCAACGGCTGGGTTCCTTCGAGAACCCAATGGAGAACTGCTCTTCTAAGGTTGAAAGGGGAAGAAGGGGGAGAAGATAGTGAGTTTGGGGGGCTGGAGGTGGGCCCCACAATTTTTTTTTTGTGGCCCAGAATCTGACGTGTTTTGTCCATGTGTACAGTTGACGTGTCAGAATATTTTGACATGTCATCATACTCGGTTAATTAACGGGACACGTCACTATATTTTTAACAGAATGACCAAGTTGGGGTAAAATGGGTAAACAGTAGGGACCAAATCAGGGATTTTTTTAGTTCAAGGACTAAATCGGGGGTCCGTACAATAGTTCAGGGACCAAAAAGGGGTTTTAACCTATCATATTTTATAGAAGTAGACTAGTGTAAGGATAAGTTAAGGTTTTTAACCTCGTACGTATACTACTATGTTTCATCAATAATCAAAGTTAAGGATAGATTTAACACTTCTCGGTCAAACAGCTGTATGACAGGTACAATGAGTGTGTCCACATCTGATTTGTTAGTCCTAAAATCATCGCCTGAAAGGACACGTCAGACTCTGATTATCTTATTAAGTAGACCACGTGGACACCTCATTAAGGCCTATAAATACCCCTAGGGGCCACTTCAAAAAGGTAATTAAAACCAACCTAAAACTCTTTTTTTTATTATCCTAAAGGTAGATCCGATTATTGCTGACTTAAGTATTGGGGTGTCTACTCCGAGGATCCACCTCGAGGCTTTACAGGTTTATTCAAAATGAAGACATAAACTGAAGAAAGACTTTTGGTTTAGTGTAATTACATTTGGCGCCGAAAGAGCAACAAGAGAGCTTTTATCATGTGAGAATCCGAACTAAAAGCTCTCTTGTTGCTCTTTCATCATGGTTAATACTCGGTCTGTCCGAGTTGTAAGCCAAGCTCAGCCTCTTGCTCAAGGCCAAACTCAGTTCTTTAATAACCTTCCACCTCATATCCCGAATCTATTCCCTTCTGTTGAATATGCAAAAAGAGGTGATGAGAACCAACCTCACAATTCATCTTACAATTTAGCTCCCATCCCAAACCAAGGTGATGTAGTCTCAGCTTAGCTCGCCGCAATGCAACAATAGTTTGTTGTTTTTCCATTTGTTTTGGCTCAACTTTTAGCTTGGAACAATTCTAGTGATCCCCTCATTAATCTAGTCAACCTTACTCAATAACCTCCGGTTCAACAACAAGAGCCCCAACTAGTTCAACATGCTCTTGCCCTCAGTGAGTCTCAAGGTTAGTCTCATGTGGCCTCAGCTCAACAACCTTTACTTGACGATGTCACACAACGTCTAGACAACTTAGAAAAAATGATAGTTGAGCAGCGAAGTGCTCCACCTCCCCACCATAACACTACTTCAATACCTTATCCTCTGAACACCAACATAACATTGGAATCTTATCCTACTGGTTTCAAGATACCTCAACTTGAAACATATAATAAAACAAAGGACCCAGATGACCATCTACATGCTTTTTACTCTTGTATGCAGGCTCAAAATGCCTCTCGTGCATTAATGTGTAAGGTCTTTCCTTATACTCTCTGAGGCAATGCTCGAACTTGGTATTACAAACTACCTTCGAGATCTATTAGTTTTTATATAGAGATGACATTTGCTTTTGCGACAAAATTTTCCAATAGGAGGTTGATTCGGAAAACCACTTCTGAGCTGATGCGAGTCATGTAAAGAGATGGAGAGTCTTTGAAGAATTACATAAGCAGATTCCATGATGTAGTTTTGGAAGTTAGCTTATTCGATCAAGCTGTGGGAATTGCAGTTGTAATTCAAGGTTTTAACCATGAAAGATTCAAAAACAACTTAATTAAGCATCCCATTGCCACTTTTAACGAAGTTAATGACAGATCTTTGAAATTCATCACTATTGAGGAATATGCTTTGTCACAAAAGCTAGTTCCTACTAAGAATCAAAACCCAGCTTGGAGAGATGAGGACCAAAGTAGAAAGAGGATGAAGACAATACAGAATCGAGGTCCAATGTTGACCTCCACACCAAGATTCGGAAGACCAAACCCGATACCTTTCCAACAAACTACCAACAAAGCACCAGTTAAATGAACTCCTTTCAATCTGCCAAGATCGTAGATATTCATGCAGATCAAGAATAAGATGCATTTGAGGTGACCAGGGCCAATGAAAAGTTCTGCTACTACACGTGATCATACTAGATATTGTGATTTTCATCAAGATCACGGCTATACAACGGAGGAGTGTAATAGTCTGAGGTTTGAATTGGAAAGTGTAGCTTAGAAGGGATTGCTGAATGAATACATCAAAGAACAAAGCAATTGAAGTTTGCAGAGAATAAGGGCCACAACCACATGGATCTCGTAATGTAGCAAATAGGCAAGGAGTGAGATATCAACAAGCTCCACCTCTACTCTCGCCATCGGCTAGAATTATACACATGATTACAAGAGGATTGGAAGCAGGGGGTTTGAGCTCTAAGCAGAGGAAGTTGTATGTTAGGGAGGTGAAGCATCAAAATAGAGCTCAAAAAAGAAAGTTTGATGACGCTGATTGGAAGAATCAACTAATCACTTTGACACCTATTGATTTTGATGTAGTTGTAACACCTCACACTGATCATTTGGTCAGCTCTGTTATAATTAATAACTGTGAGGTACAATGCGCCCTTGTTAACACAAGGAGTGCACTAGACATCATGTATTATCATTATTTTGAGAGTTTAGGTCTATATCTAGCTCTATTGTCGAGGTACGATGGCCCTATATATGGTTTCAACAACTAACTTGTTCGAGTCAAAGGAGTACTCACTCTCCATGTTGCCTTTGGGAGCAGCCAAACCTATGTTACTCCCTCTGTTCGATTCTTAGTCGTTAAAATGGCATCGTTCTTCAATGTCGTTATTGGTCGGCCCACACTGACAGAGATCTGAGCTGTTGTTTCTTAATCTCATCTTTACACGAAGTTCATTACCCCTATGGGGATAGCAACATTATGAGGCAACCAAGAGGTGGCAAGACATTGCTATATTACCTTGATTACAAGGCCCCAGAAAGAAAAAGATTAGACATCAGAAAACATTTCACAGGAAATTCATGATAACCAGCAAGTCATGGGGGTCGAGGTACTTGATAACAGACCTGAAGATGAAACCCGAGCTGCTCCAGTTGAAGATGTTGAGGAAGTGCAGATTGATGATAGAGATCCGAATAGAAAGACACATATTGGAACTCGGTTGAAGCCAGAGGAAAGAGCAGAACTAATAACTTTCCTTCGAGCTAATACAGATGTTTTCGCTTGGACTTCAATAGATATGCCA